AACCTCCCCATCGGCCCTGCCCTGAGTGTGAGAGTGGCGGCGCCCCAACCCCCTGATCGGCCCTGCTCTGTGGGTGATAGAGGGTCGGCCCTGCCCTGAGTGTGAAAGTGGCGGCACCCCAACCCCCTGATCCACCCTGCTCTGTGTGTGACAGGGGGTGGTGCGCCAACTCCCCTATCGGCCCTGCTCTGTGCATGACAGGGGGGAGCTCCCCAACCCCCTGATGGGCCCTGCTCTGTGCATGACAGGGGTGAGATCCCCAACCCCCTGATCGGCCCTACTCTGTGCGTGACAGGGGTGAGATCCCCAACCCCCTGATCGGCCCTACTCTGTGCGTGACAGGGGGTGGCGCCACAACCTCCCCATCGACCCTGCCTTGAGTGTGACAGGGGGCGGTGCCCCAACCCCCCAATCGGCCATACCCTGAGCGTGACTGAGGGTGGCATCACAACCTCCCGATCGCCCTGCTCTGTGCATGACAGGGCGGTGCCCCAACTCCCCAATCGGCCCTGCTCTGAGCCCGACCAAGGGCTGCACCTAGGGATTGGGCCTGCCCTCTGCCACCCGGGAGCATGTCTAAGCCAGCAGGTCGTTATCTCCCGAGGGGTCCCAGACTGCGAGTGGGCACAGGCCGGGCTGATATTTCTCCCCCCCAAGTGCACAAATTTTTGTGCACCGGGCCTCTAGTCCTATATAATAAAAGGGTAATATGCTAATTGACCAAACAGCAAAACAATCGGTTGCTATGACACACACTGACCACCAGGGGGCAGTGCTCAATGCAGGAGCTGCCCCCTGGTGGTCAGTGCACTCCCAAAGGGTTTACATCAAAACCTGCACATGGATGTTAATAACAGTTTATTCATAATTGCCCAAACTTGGAAGCAACCAAGATGTCTTTTCATAGGTGAATGTGCAAATAAACTGTGGCACATCCAGACAATGGAATATTATTTAGTACTAAAAAAAAAATGAATTATCAATCTTAAAAACACATGGAAGAAATGTAAATACATATACTAAGAGAAAGAGAATCATCGATTGGCCCCCTCCTGCATGTATCCCAATCAGGAATCGAATTGGCAACCTTTCAGTACATGGGGTGATGCTTAACCAACTGAGCTACACTGCCAGGGCAAAGAAGATTTTTAAATTTTAATAAATTCAAGCTTGTCATTTCATTTAGTTCAAAATACTTCTAATGTTTCTCGAGATTCCTCTTTTGACCCATGTGTTATTTAGAAGTATGTTGTTTAATCTCCAAGTATTTTGGAATTTTCCAGCTATCTTTCTGCTATTGATGTCTAGATTAATTCTATCATTGTCTGAGAGCAGACATTATGCAGTTTCTGTTCTTTTAAACTTGTTAAGGTGTATTTTATGGTCCAGGATGATTTGGTCTATCTTGATGACTGGAATACAGTTTTTACTTTTTATTATGTGGAGAAAATTGTATAATGAATGAATTATATACTCATCACTTAGCTTCAACAATTACTAACACAGTAGAGGCCCTACCAGTGCAGGGTCCCTAGCAGCTGCTGGCTGCTAGCCGGGGCTTCCCTCCCTTCCCCCAGCCAGCCCTGCCCCCTGGTCAAGCTCCCAGAGGGGACAATTTACATACTACCCTTTTATTATATAGGATGCCTCATCTTATTTCATTACTGATTTCTCTCTTCCCAGCCATTTTAAAGCAAATTTTAGACCAATATAATTTTATTCATAAATAGTTACATATACAGTATATTATAATGAAGTCATCGTGTTAGTAAATGTGGTCCTTTGGAGCTCAACAAAATCAGCCTGCACTGAGATCCACTGGCATCCTGTCTTCACCCACCCCACCCCGTGCCCTTCCCCTTGATCAAAGATTGATAAATCTAAATTGTTCCTGTGCACTGAGAAGATTCCATGGACTGGTGATGTAAACATGCCCAGGCAGCTATTTGGGTGAGCAAAGAGACTGTGTTGCAGTTGGCATTCTGAGACCAGCTGTCGCCACTTGATAGCCATGTAAACTTGATCAAGGCATTGAACTTATAGAGCTATATCTAAGTTTTTCTCTCTGATTAAATGGAGATCATAAAACCCACTTGATCAAATTGTTGTGAAGCTTAGTTAAGATAGGAGAAGTGAAAACCATGTTGTCCTCATTATTCTGGTGTATGCAGCAACTAAACCATGTTAGAGAAGATGTTGAATGAGGCTTTAGTGCAGGGCCTCGTTTGCACACAGGAAACCCTGTGCCTTTTTTAGAGAAGAGAATCCAGAACCTTCCATGAATCCACAAGTCCCTAGGCACCAATTCTCAGAACAAGGCTAAGTTTAGGTCCTGATAGAGATTGAATCTTGAACATGAGATGCTAGGCAACCCAAACTGTCCATCATGAACTGGGTATTATTTATTGAGTCATAAAGTTGGAGCAGCATAAGGCTCAAAAAAGTCAGTCTAAACATTCAATAACATTACATGAACAGGTGACCCACACTCCCACAGTTGCTCCTATTGCCTTACCAGTTTTTCTAACCCACATCTGTAGTCTCATGGGAAATTATGACTATTTCACAGGGGAAGAAAAAGTGCAGGCTTAGTTGCAGGTGGGTTTGTATGATATGACCACAAGTGAACAGCTGGTCTTTTACATTTTCTCTCAGGAGTAAGTCTGAAAGACAGAGGTGATGGGAAATTTTTCCACTAGGCAGTTGGTACATCTGTTGTCCACTTAGTGCAGAAGGGAAGGTAGCCTGGGGCATGAAACTATACCAATTTACAATCAATGGTTAATGAATTGAAAAGAACAATCAACTTGCAAAGAACAAGATTAGAAGATGGGTGACAAGGTCTGGTTCTCTGCCCTCACCCATCTTTGCCTTCACCCACTTCCCCTTTATAACTCTGGTCTTGCTGTTGTTTTCCACACTTTTTTTCCTTTTCATGTTCCTTATGATTGAAACTACCAGTCTTCACAGAGCAAACCAATGTAACCAAACACCATCCTATAGTACTTGTAAATAGGATGTTCACCTCTCTCCACACAGATGAGCTCCAAGAAATTGGATTTAAATGATACCTCACTATGTACCTTTAATTTGGGAAACATGAGGTGTGTTCTCAGAAGTGGACTATTGTGTTTTGTTCTGACTCAGGAGCCATCCACTGTTCACAAGGTATGGCAAACGCAGCCTGGATCCAGGCTTGTTTCTGAATCCCAGATCTAGATATTAGCTGTGTGGTCTTGAGCTTCACTTATCTGAATCTCCAGCTTACTCATCTGTGAAATAAAGATAATGAGATCTACCTGATAAGATTCTATGGGAAGCAAATACCAGGGGATATAAAGCAACACAAGACATAGTACCTGGAAAAATAAGAGCTCAAAACTTCCATTTTTTCTTCTCCATCTTGTACATAATACTAGATATATTCCTTAAAATTTTTGGTTTTGGGAAAATTGGCCTTTGATTATTTCTGTGTTTCCAGAAACTAGTATTTGGGTGTGAGTTAATGTGTGTGTGTGTGTGTGTGTGTGTGTGTGTGCGTGCCCGCGCGCACGTGTATACACATGCGTACTTTCCAGGTCTGCTAGAGAGAGAGTGCCAAAGTAACTCTGTGTATGCTTGTGTGTATTTGCACGCCTAACTTGGAGATTTCAAGAAAATGAATCCATTAAATGTGATTCAGAAAACTGTGTTAGTTTTGAAAAGCAAGTTTTCATTAAGCCCTCACTCTGTGCTTGCTCTAGATGCCATGAGGCATAAATCAATATAAGATATGGTTTTTGCCTACGGGGGTTTACTGGCCAAGATTCTTCAAACTAGCTTAGGCATGCAGGGAAATGTATTCGCTCAAGTAGAAAGACTGCAGAAAGTGCAGGAATAGATTTAGACTCAGGTTCAGCTGGATCCAGGGCTTAAACCCTGCCAGGACTCTCTTCCTGTGCTTGTCTCTCTTCTCTCCATGCTAGTTTTGGATCCCCCATGGAGAAGGGAGGGGGCCATGAACAGTCTCAACCTTACATCCACAGAGCATACAACCAGAGAGGAAACAGAGCTCTCTTTCCCAAGTTCTAATGAGACAAATCCCACAGGAAAACTCTGATTGTGTAGGTTAGGTCTATTTTCCAAGTTCTAATGAGACAAATCCCACAGGAAAACTCTGATTGTCTAGGTTTAGGTCATGTGTCCATTACTAATTCTTATGCTTGAGTAATTAATGTCTGTCCTCTGCTACATACCCTCACTGTTGGCCAGAAGTATAGGGTATCAAGAATAGCAGACTCATGTGGCTGGGAATGAGGTACAGTTTCCCAGAAGAAAAAGATTGCTGTTATGGGAAGATTATTCAAATAACAGTCTACCACACTAAATTTTGTAAGGGAAAAAATACAGCCCAACAACACCAGAATATACATTCTTCTCAAGAGCATGTGGAACATTCTCCAGGAGAGACCTTTTGCTATGCCACAAAACAAACCCAAATAAAATATGAAAGATAGAAATAATACAGAGTATGTTCTCCTACTATGATGGAATGACATTGGAGATAAAAAACTGAAAAAATTTGGGGAAACTCACAAATATGTGGAGATTAAAGAACACATTTCTAAATAACCAATGGATCAAAGAAGATATGAAAAAAGAAATCAGACAATACTTAGAGATGAATGAAAATAATGATACAATATTCCAAAACTTATGGGATGCAGTTGAAGTAGTGCTTATGAAGGGGCGAGGGCTATGCCCTCCATCTTACCTTGGCCATGTGCTCAGGAAAGGCTTCTTCCCGGAAGCCCAAGCCTCTGCTACTCTGCTAGCCACACCCAGGACTTCTTTAAACTAACCAATGACAATCAAGGGACGTGTGCATCATAGATATGACCACATCCTGTGTAACAAGACCCGACTTGCACCTGGCCAATCGGCAGGGCCCACAGTCATCTCTCCTCCCCTCACTCCATCCCCCTATTAAAACACCTTTTTTCTCATGGGGCTGGCACTCTTGCCTCGCCGTTTTGTGGGTGGAGGCTGGGAGCCAGACCCGGGTCTATAATAATAAAAGACTCTTTGCTTTTGCATTGGACACGGCTGGCTCCCTGGTGTGGTCTATTGGGGATCTTGAAATCTGGGCATAACATTTGGGGGCTCATCCGGGATCCCCAAGACCCTCGAGGGACCCCCATCAGGAGAGTCTGACTGACCGCGGTAAGTGTCTGTGTCTGTGTGTTCTGTATCTGTCCTGTGTGAGCTCACTTCTGAAATTCTGTAAGTACCCGTAATGATCTAAGTGGACGCACTGGGGGATCATGGGCGGGAGGAGTCGGGGGACGCCTCGATCCTCCATCTGGAGGGGTGTAGTTTTGCTTCTGCGGAGTCGGAAGGTCTGTAGAAGCCCCTCAATCTGAGAATAGGCGGGTCTCTCCCGCTGGTTGGCGCGCAGCCATCGTCTAGCTTTCGGTTTTTGCTTCCATGGAGTTGGAAGGCTGTATTTTCAGGCCCTCTTAGTTTTCTGTGTTTGTATGTTTTTTCTGTGGACTTACTGGACGGACTCAGAGTGCTCCTTTGGGTATTGTGATTGATCATTTCAAGGAGATTGGGGGAGGCTGTAGAGCTCCCTCAGGAGTTGGGAAATTGTTAGGAATTGAATGGATTATTTAAACTCTGAATGAATGTCTGGTGAAAGTGTGTGAGTGTGGAGGGAGGTGGCCTGCCCTCTCCCCTCCTTTGTGTGGCTATCTGAGTATGCCTAGTATGAAGTCTAGATGATAGAAGTTAATCTATTAATTGAAAATGCCTTATATTTTATTTGAAATGTATCCTTAAATGTAAAAGTATTGATTTGAAAAATGCTAAGTATTTAATTTGCTACCTAAGATTTAAAGCTCTGAAAGTTTAAGGTCTCTTTTCTTGCCATTAAAAAGTTTATTTTAGTGGAGGGAGGGGTAGACACGCCCTTCCCCTAGCATGCAGGTAATCTATTAAGCATGACTTTGGGAAAAATACGCCATCTGAGTCATTTGCTGAAACTTCCCCCAAAGCAGAATGTGGGGGAAGGGAAGAAAGAAGCCCACGTGGCCATCCAATATGGACGTCACTCCCCAAGAAATCCACTTCTTAGCCTCATCTTCACCATCTTTATCTTTTTTTTCCAGCTAATGACTTAATGCATCCGGGATTTCTGTGCATATGTAAAGGGAAAAGGCCAGTTTAAAAATGAGTGCGCATAGTTTTGAGCTATACTTGACCTTTTGCTGTGTACAGAATAAAAACCCGAGACTGTTTTGGCCTTAAAAATGGTGGAGATGAACCTGACAAAGACATCCAACCTCCTCAGTTGCCACAGTTCAGGGTGACCTTGAGGGCTATTTGGTGAGAGCTCTTTTGAAACTTCCCGCTCTGAGGCAAGTACCATCAGGAAGTTGATAGTCAAGTTTACATGTGAATAGCTATGGGTTTGCTTCTTGACTTCCCCAGCAGGAAAATTGTGACCATTTTGAAATTTAGCAGCTATGCCAGGCCTATTGGCTGGAAACTTAAAACTTTTAAGTTCAAATCATCTATGGGGCAGGAAGTGTACTTGCCTCGTGGATTTATTTTTATGCCAAAGTCTTTAAGAGGGACTGATAGCAGTAATCCAATTTCTAAAGTAAAGTATGATTATTTCAGGTAGAAACTGGTTTCATACTGATCCTAGAGGGCTCCAGTTCAGTGTTCTGGAGACCCAGGACATGCGTAAGTATAACCTATGTTCTAGATAAAGTGTTTACCCAAGGCTGTGGTTTAAATTGTATGCTGTCTCTGCTTCTGTAAATTGATCTGTCCTTATTGCTTAAATATGTATCTTTGTTGTTTAAAATTGTTTAACTAGTGAAATTTCTGTGTCTCTTAAAAAAATTTTTTGAATGTACTGCTAATCTGTGGAATGTTAATTATTTACATGTCACCTAAAAATTAAGGCTAAGAGTTCTAACTAACTGGAAAGCATGGCTTTGGTGTGATGGAAGGAAAGAGAAATGTTAAATGGATGGTAGACCAGTGAGCTGGGACTGGTCACTGGTGGTGGATTGTGAGAAGGGCTGGACGCAGCCTAACTTCTCCTTCCTTGGTACCCCTGAAATGTCAGAGGGTACTTCTGGCCTTGGTTTTCCAATGTGTTTAGTCTATCGATTTTGTTGTTTCGCCAAAATCCTCTTGAAGGACATTGAATGGTTCTTTCCTTCCTCTTAACTTTTGGGGGATTGTGTGAATGGATTACTGATGTAGATTATCAAGGATCTCTAAGGGACTTGTCCTGTATCTGGAGGAATGGCTTCTAGATGGTATTCACCATCTCTGAGACTTCTGTAGGGAAGTCAAAACTCGGACTGGCTAAGGGTTCGAATCTGGCCTATCTTTTAAAAAGGTAGAAAAGAAGCATTCCTAGGCAGTTTTCTACTGCCTCTGTTCAGGGACTTGTTCTGTATCTCGACACAACTGAAACTGATTTGTTGGTGTTTTGTGGTATAAATGTGGCATGCACCTCAAAGTTCTTAATGGGGAATGTATCTACTTATCGTGTCTATTTCGTCTTGATTTCCTTGTTCAATATGAGTACCGTTTCTATCTGGATGAGACATAGGTCAAGAATCCTGTCCTGGGATGTGGGAAAGGGAGGCCCCCACATCTGTTCCTGTCAGGCCCCCATCAGGGGACTTGGGCGGTGTTCCTGTTATCTGCTCAAGATCCCAAGACTGTAAAAGTACTTGTTCACTGAAAGGGTGTAAGTGTAAATGTTTATTTGATGTTTGTATGTCTACTTGGGTATAATTATTTGTTCATGTAAGTGTGTAAGTCTGTGGAAAAAAAGGCACACACTTGATTTCTTTAAGGCTGAGTGCTCTGACCGATAGCAAAGTGCCCTGAGCAGCTGCCCAAGGGTGCTTGCTCTGTCAGAGGTGGAATCTGCCTGCCTAACTAGTAAACATCTCTGTCTGTTTGTTTGCTGGGAACTTTGATTTGCTATGTGATATTCTGTGCTGGGTTGGGATTTTGGAATTCTGGGATAGATTTAAAAGGTATTTGTGGCTTTTCTAGTCTGGTTGGGACATTTAGGGATGGGGCTCACAGTTCCTCAGGGCAGAGATTTTATGGGCCCTTCCCCCTGCCTGTGCTGAATTAAATAATACAGGCCAGTGTCATTTGGCTTGCTGGTTAAAGGAAGACAATGGGCCTTAGAATCTGTAAAGGTGGGTGGGAATGAAGCTGGTCAAATGTACTGAAAGGGTTTGGTACCTGTTGCTGCTAGAAAAGGAGGGGCTGATACCCCCTTCTAGCCCACTCCCTTGAAAGAGGCCTGGTTGCTGCTCTGCCACAAAGGGAACTGGTAGAAAGGCAAGAAAGCAGAGTACTGTAATTAATAAACAGGGTTACCTAGAAGCCATCAGGACTTTGAAGTTCTCCAAGAGAGGAGGAATCTGACTCGGAGACTGGCGGGGACTGGGTGGCTCTCCTATCATGTTTGGCAGGCCACCCCCTATAAAACCCTTTTCTTTAACTATCTCTTTCCTTGAGAGGGCTCCAGAGGGCGCACGAGGACATTTGGCAGCACCTCCATGCCATCTACGAGACCGGCCCAACCCCAACTCCTCATCAGCACAGACCAGGAGATCGGGTCTACGTCAGAAGGCACCGCCGGGAGACCCTAGAGCCACGTTGGAAGGGTCCCTACACTGTGGTGCTGACAACCCCCACCACTCTCAAGGTAGACGGTGTCGCCACCTGGGTCCATCACACTCATGTCTGGTCAGCAGTCCCATCCGTGCAATCAAAGCAACCCACTCAAGCTCAAGCTATGGCGTGCTCGACCTGCCTGATTCTGGTAACATTGCTCGCGATCACTCCTGCCACCTGGAGCCCCCACAATACTGTGTAATAGACTTAGATAATGCCTGCATCTTCATGGACATGGCTCCAAGGAGACAAGGACAATTTATAGGATCACATGTTTAGTAGCAGAAGATTTGGCTGCCTGAAGCGGCCATGATGCCAATATTATGTTTCATTGTATTGATATGTTGTATTAACCTTCAATTCTCTTACAGGTTTAAATGTAGCTGTAGCTGTGGACCAGTGATGGTCTACAGTCCTTAGTAGTCTTTGGAAATAACTGGCAAGTGTCCAGTCTCCCACACTGAGGGATATTGTTATAGCTATGTATGTTGGCTATCCTGGAAGGGGACTGTGTGGGGTGAACCCCAAAAGTAAAGGGTGTCTAGCTGCCAAGAGGGCAGGTGCCCAACTGGGCAGGGAAGGGTGCCCATCAGGTTTTGGTCACTGTTGAGAGACAGTTGGCAGTTGGCAGCCTGTGTACTGCTTGCAGGTCTGCGTGACCATGCCCATGTCAGGGGTAGTAAGCTGGAAAAGGCCTGTTTAGAATAGAAGGTCTGTATGTATATTACATATGATTAAAACAGACCTTGCCCTGAAAAAAAAAAAAAAAAAAAAAAAAAAGAATAGAAGGTCTAAGACATGGTTATGCATAGAAAGAAAGTTTAATCCCAACAATTACTATTTTGTTATAACTCTGAAAAATCCATGAAAAGGAATTGGCAAGGAAAGTCAGAAAATCTTAGAGTAGATCAGTATGTTTTTCTCCTTATGTAATTCCTCCGAAATCTGGCAATGCTAAATAAGTCATGGCAATACATTTCTTTGCATAGTTCAATAAGACTGGTTCCTAATAGTGGTTTTATTAATGGAAAACTTTGACTGGAGTATCATGTTTTGAAGAGCCCTGTCTGAGCTCTAAAGACTTGAAGCCAGTAAGAATGCCACGAAGAAAACCTGGTATCCTGCTTGGGAGCCCTGAGGATGGCTGGCGCTGGAGCATCAGGCCGATGCCCTACCATCACTGGCGGTTGGTAAGAGCAGAAGGGGAGCAGTAAAGATGCCTCTGTGTCCCTGCGGAACCCCCACACACTCTGGGCCACAACGCATAGGAGGGCTACTGAGATGGGCCTTAAAGCCTGGAGCATGGGCTCAGGTGGAGTTGCTACAGGTGAGGGATTCACCTAACTCAGCAGATACTGCAGGCAGGCCTAATGGCAGCTGGATGGCTTGGCTTCCTGGCTCTACGGGGCACATTAAAATTCAACCATGAGATTCCAGCAAAGGTAGTCAGTTACCATTCTTGTTGTGTTTATGCAAACATCAGGATAGTAGATAAATTAATCTTGATTTGGCTTTTTAATAGCCATGGAGGAATTTTAAGAAGAAAAATCCTATTTCAATAGGAATTGTTAAAGCTAAAATGGTTTCTTTCCCTTCCACCGAACCATTTGTTAAGCATATAGGGATAGTTCAATTGATAGTTCTATGTGCCCAGTACAGGCCTCTACCAATGGTGGAATAGAAATGCAGTCCGTCTCATGATTGAGCCAGAAGTTCCAAGACAAAGGGGGGAATGAAGGGACGAGGGCTACGCTCTCCATCTTACCTTGGCCATGTGCTCGGGAAAGGCTTCTTCCCGGAAGCCCAAGCCTCTGCTACTCTGCTAGCCACACCCAGGACTTCTTTAAACTAACCAATGACAATCAAAGGACGTGTGCGTCATAGATATGACCACATCCTGTGTAACAAGACCCGACTTGCACCTGGCCAATCGGCAGGGCCCACAGTCATCTCTCCTCCCCTCACTCCACCCCCCTATTAGAACCCCTTTTTTCTCATGGGGCTGGCACTCTCGTCTCGCCGTTTTATTGGTGGAGGCTGGGAGCCAGACCCGGGTCTATAATAATAAAAGACTCTTTGCTTTTGCATTGGACACGGCTGGCTCCCTGGTGTGGTCTATTGGGGATCTTGAAATCTGGGCATAACACTTACAGAGAAATTTATAGTTGTAAATACCTATATTAAGAAAGATCTCAAATTGTAACCTCAATATTCTATGTTAGACACCAGAAAAGGAAAATCAAATTAAACCTAAAGCAAACTAAACCAGAAGGAAGGAAATATTGAAGAGGTGAGCAGAAATTAATGAAAGAGAATTGGAAAAATATATACAAAATTTATTAAACCAAAACTCGGTCCTGTGAAATCTCAACAAAACTTTAGCTAATGTATCAAGAAAAAAGAGGGAAGACTCAAATCCAGAATTAAAGAGGGGACATATTTACTCACCATACAAAAGTCAAAAGGATTACAAGTGAATATTAGTGAACATGCCAATAAATTAGATGACTTAGATGAAATGAAAAAATAGTTAGAAAGATACAAACTACCAAAATAGCCTCAAGATGACAACCTGAATAGGCCTATAACAAGAGATTGAATTCATAATAAAAAGAACTACACACAAAGAAAAGTCCAGGCCCAGATAGCTTCTCAGCTGAATTGCACCAAACATTTAAAAGAGAATTAATACCAATTCTTTACAAACTCTTCCAAAATATAGAAGAGAAGGAAACACTTCCCAACTCATTCTATGAGGCCAGTATTAATCTTATACCAAAACCAGACAATACATCACTATAGAGCAATATCTCTTATGGACACAAAAGTTTCCAAAGAATACCAGACAGTATCCAAATACATAAAAGTAATTACATACCATGACCACGTGGGATTTATTCCAAAAGTTAATTAATATAATATACCATATTAATAGTAAAAAGAAAAACCACATGATCGTCTTGAAATGGAATTTTTGAACTGGAACCCAGATTCTTTGTCCGTCGGAATCGAAGAATGAATGAATACATGAACAGAAAGTGGTATAGCAAAGGGGGAAATTTATTGAAGAACAAGTACAGACTCCAACGTGGGGAGAGGGAAAGAGTCCCACAGAATGGACTCCCACGTAGGGAAGGGGGAAACGGTCCCACTGAGTTCCTTTTCTCTATGGATTATAAAGGCTGCAGATCCTGGTGCCTTGATATCCCCTCTGATTGGTCACTATTCCCTTAGACTGGTTACTATAGTAATTCCTGAATTCAAAGGTCAACCTCACATGGGACATGTGAGGTTCTCTCCCCACCCCTTCCTTATTGTTTTCCTATTCCCTTTGGGCTTTCTTCTTCTCCTCCTGGATGAAGGGTTTCCTTCTCTTTATTTTGTAAATATAGACCTTTTGCTGTTCCCAGCTCCCTCATTCTATGGAAATATACCTGTTGCAGCTTTTCAGCTTCCTTATTCTACGGAAATATACCCTGTGCTGCTCTGCAGCCCTGTGCTTCCTCTACAGTACCCTTAATTTCTAAAATTTCCTAAACCTATTCTATTTTACCCCTAAAATTCCTGTTTCAGTCTCAATGGACACAGAAAAAGTGACAAAAATCTAACACCATTTCATGGTAAAAACACTAAATAAACTAAGAATAGGAGAAAACTCTTCAACCTGGTAAAGGGTATCTACAAAAACTCCTACAGGTAACATCATACTTAATGGTGAAAAATTGGATGCTTTCCTCCTATGATAAGGAGCAAGATAGGGATGCCCACTTTTACCACTTCTAGTCAACATTGTACAGGAGCTTTTAGGGCAATTGGACAAGAAAAATAAATAAAAGACATCCAGATAGAAAAGAAAGAAGTAAAATTATCTTTATTTACAAATGACATGAATTTATATATAGGAAATCCTAAGAAATCCACTATAAAACAACAACCCTATTAGAACTAATAAACAAATTCAGCATGGTTGCAGGATATAAGACCAATAAAAAAATAAATTATATTTCTATATAGTTGCATTGAACAATCCAAAAATGGAATTAAGAAAACAATTCCACTTCAATAGCATCAAAAAGAATAAAACACTTAGGAATTAATTTAACAAAAGAAGTGTAAAACTCATACCCTGAAAACTATAAAAATATTGTTGAAAGAAATTAAAGATCTAAATAAATGGACAAACATCTCATGTTCCTGGATTGAAAGACTTAATATGGTTAAGATGACAACACTCCCCAAAGTTATCTATGGATTCAATACAATCTCTTTCAGTGGACTTCTTGGTAGAAATTGACAAGGTGATTCTAAGAAAGTTTAAGGGAATCAGAATAGCCCAATCTTGAAAAAAACAAAAGTAAGAGGACTCAAACTTCTCAATTTCAAAACTTACTATAAGACAACAGTAATAAAGACAGCATGGTACTGGCAGGTGGATAGATATAGAGACTAATGAAATATAATTGGGAGTCCAGAAATAAAACCATGTGTCCCTTATCAACGAATTTTTTAATAAGAATACCAAGATCATTCAATGGGGAAAAAACAGTCTGTTCAACAAATGGTGCTGGGAAAAATGGCTATACACATGCGAAAGAATGAAGTTGGACCCTAACTCAAACCACATACCAAATTAACTCAAAATAGATAAAATATTTAAAAGTAATACTTTTAGAAGAAAACATAGAATAAAACTTTGTGACCTTGGATTTGGCAATGAATATTTAGTTATGACACCAAAAGTGTGAGCAACAAAATAAAAAATAAATAATTGGGTTTCATTAAAATGTAAAACTTTTGCGCCGAAACCGGTTTGGCTCAGTGGATAGAGCGTCGGTCTGTGTACCTGGGTTGCGGGCACATCCACAGTGGGAGATGTGCAGGAGGCAGCTGATCGATGTTTCTCTCTCATCGATGTTTCTAACTCTCTATCTCTCTCCCTTCCTCTCTGTAAAAAATCAATAAAATATATATAAAAAAAATGTAAAACTTTTGTGCTTCAAAGGGCTCCATTGATAAAGTGAAAAGAAACCCCACAGAATGAAAGAAAATATTTACCAATCATGTATCTGATAAGGAACTTATACTGGAATGTATAAAGCATTTATATGACTCAATAGTAAAAAGACAAATAACCCATTTTATAATGGGCAATAAAAATGAATACACATTTCTCCAAAGAAGCTATACAAATGGCCAATGAACTTGGAAATATGCTCAACAACATCAGTTATCAGGAAAAGGCAAATCAAAATCACAGTAAGATACTGCTTCACATTCAGAATGGCTAGAATCAAAATGTCAGAGAAAACAAGTGTTGTCAAGAAGCCTGAGAAATCAAACCCTCACACATTACTGGTAGAAATATAAAATGGTACCACCATTTTGGAAAAGAGTCTGGCAGTTCTTCAATCAATTATACATACAGTTACCATAAGGCCCAGCAATTCCATATCTATCAGTAGCTATATATCCAAGAGAAATGAAAACATGTCTAGATAAAGACTTATATACAAATATTCATAGTACCACCATTCATAATAGCCAAAAGGTGTAAGCAACCCAGTTTCTATTGTGGCAGGATAGTAAGAAACTAGGAAAATTCCCCGGCAAGAGGAATGGGGAAACTCAGACAAGAAATTTAAACAAAGCCAAACAGTTTGGGCAGCTTGCAGCCAGCTTGTGAATTGCAAGACCTTACCTCCCCACAACCAAGGACACGTAAGAGCAAATGATTTGTATCTCCACTCCCTAGTCAGAGAATACTTAGCTTAAATCACCCTGGGCTGGGAA